AGAGGAACTGGCTGCACTGCATTTCACAAAAATCAGTCATGAAAGCAGAAACACAAACAGAGCTGCATTCTTGTCCTTCACACAAACAACCCACTTACATTGCTCCTCCTTGGTGTAATAGTACTCCTTGTCAATGTGCACTCGGTCATCTATGGTGTGAGACAGCAACTCAAAGGAGTTCATGACCTCGATGTTTCTCCCCTCCTGCTTCCCGATCAGGGCGCCAATCACTGAGCAGGAGAACCAACACAATAATAACCTGTTTCATTTCACTCAGTAACAAAACAACTCAGCTGAACATGAGACAAACTGTACATGACATCACTGCTTACATGCCATCTCATTTGCATAACATCGTCATACATACCCTGCATTGGTCGTCCCTCCTGTGAGCGGATGCGTATCCAGTGGTCGGATATGTTGAGGATAACCAGAGGGTGTAAGGCCACAGAGACGCTTCCGGTGACCCCTGAGGCCATGACACTGGGGCTGGCTACAGTCACACAGACACAAACAACAGGGGCTTTAATACCACAGCAGCTACTGAGGTCATTGGTCGAACAAAACAAGCTATTTGAGTACCTCTCCTTGGGTTCTGGGAGCTTGTAAAACACAGTTTTCACAATTTCCTGACAGTTTATGGAGGATTCATCAGTTAATATGGAAAAATAATCACATTGAGGTTTGGGTGATGTGGACAAAAAAAAAGCACCACAATATTTTTGACCACGTGTCGATGTTGATATTGATATTGATATTGACACAATATTGTAGATTGGACTATTGATGCTTTCACAAAATATTTACACAATGAGATTTCTGGTAAATAATCATCAGTGAAGTGGATTTAATCACAAAGCAGGTAAAGGAAAATAGAAGAACAGCTAGAACAGTCTGTTAAGTTCAGAAAATGACATCACTTTACAGTGACGCAGTCTTAAAACCAACAAAAGACAACACTTACAATATCATGATTTCCAAAATCTACGACGATATCTGGTCTCGTATCACAATACCAATATAAATATTGGTATATTGCCCAGCCGTAATCAAATTTATCATTAATGAACAAATCTGAAATAATAAAAGATAACTGATGCATCCACAAACATTTGCCAATACGACAAGTAGGGATTCAGTGTTGTGTGTTTAAAGCCAATCCTATGTGACAACAATAGAGCCAGATCAACAAACCAAAAAGGCGATATTAGCTTATTCCAGATATATCGTAGCAACATTATCAAAAGATTTGTTTATATTATGCAACTATTTTAAAATACAAATACTGGCACAAGTATTGCAGTTGTACGTTTTTAACCGCCCAATATCAACACTGACCTCAAAAATCCAGTCTGGCTCAAATTACAACCACAAACATTTAATTAAATGTCAGTCAGTGATGTAGTCAGAGCTCCTATCTTTTAAGTCAGGGCTGTGCAATATATCAGTAATATATTGCTATCCACATTAGTGATTGTTTGTTATTTATTTTAGGGGAGAGGAGGTATCAATTTTTTTAAGCACTGGGGAGAGACATGCTTTTTTTATTTTGGCCTAGGGGAGGGGCATACAAATCTAAATGGTTGTATCTTGTATTTTGCCTGGTTTGGAAGGCATGATTAATTTAAAATTAAACCATTTATCAAAATTACACCATATATCATAGCCAGAAACTGTAAAAACCAAAATTATTGTAAGTTTCTGACAGTCCTTGGACACATCATGTGTGACTAATGTTTTTGTCAGAGGAAAAAAACATAACCATACACAAGGGTTGGGGGAAAAAAAAGATATTTTTGTGTGGCAATATCATATTGTCACATATATATCGTATTTTGATTGTTTTATTTCATAAATCATTAATATCACAAATACAAATTAAACTTTAGGTAGCTTACTAGAATTATATTATCAATTGCTTTTTCAGTCGACTAGATACATTTTGCTGCAAATACAATGATTAAAGTGAGAACAGACTGAAAACTTTATCTTATTAGATAACACAGATGTTGACAAAGTTTTACCTTCAGAGACATAATTTTTAATAGATTATCATTGGTTATTTGGCTGGCAAGTAAAGCAAATCTAGCAGCCACTTGCATTATTTTTTACCAGCATTTGGCTGGTGGATGGAGCTAATTTCCAACCATCATTAAAGGGTAAGTTTTAAAAATCAGATAACTAATTCATGGTGGAGGAAAGGTTATGCATATTCCCCCAGTCACTAGGGGAGGCGCAAGAAAAATATCTGTAGCTCAATGGAGTGTCAAAATTAAAATATATAATTATATTTTGTGAAAGCACCAATAATCAAATATTGAGGTATTTTGTCAAAAATATTGTGATATTTAATGTCCTTCATACCGACGAGCCCTACGTTTAGCATATATTACTTATACTTCTTAAATAAAATAAAATAAAAAAGCACTGCTTCCCTTAATTGATATCCTGTTGCTGTATTTGAATGTTCAATGAAAAGTACTGGAAAAATATATCCTTGAAATAATATCAACATAATGATAAGGACATGTATCTAAATATTAAATGCTGACCGATAGAGACAGGCCGATATATTGGTTCATCACACAGACAGCAGACGTCCAAGACCAGCCCTTATTAACGTTACAGATTGGTTTGTTGTCATAGCTCGTCAGTGTGGTTTATCTCAAACCTGCCTGAGCTGACAGATTTAGCTTTACGTCCCTGATGCTAACACAATAGTAATATATATAATTATATATAATATTGACTCAAGCACCCAAAGTGATGAATTTGATGACAGCTTTATAGCAGAGCTGTGTACGTTAACCCGCTTATGTCAGCAAGCTCGCTACCTACCGACTTTAACACCGCTAATTCATCACTTACGGACACTCACAACACAAATGTGAGTTAAATGCATCGTTCTGCGTTCAGGTTCATGTTAATATCAGGCAGATATTGAGAGATAAATGAGAAATACTCGCCTGCCCCATCCACTTCCATTCCTCCTCCATTGCTGGTCGCCATCTTGTCCGGTAGACCGCGCAGGCGCAGTGGACTGTTCACGTTCTTGTTCTTCTTCTTCGTTGGGTTTTAACGGCAGCTTGCATCCTTAATGTGACAGTACTGCCATCTCCTGGAGGTAGTTCACTCCTACAGTGTCCAGTCTGTGCTCATCAGTCCTGTTTACATAAGGAAACAAGTATCCTCTGCCTTCAGCCACTCATATATATTTCTTGCAGCTAAGAAGCACATGCTCAACAACAGTTTCTGGCAGGTGGGACAAGTCATTGTTTTGCAAGTCACAAGTCTTTGCACTCAAGTCTCAAGCTGAGTCACATATCAAGACTGAAAAGTCCCGAGTCCTAAACTTTGAGTTTAAAGTCCTAAACAAGTCATAAAGCACTTTTTTTTTTTTTTTTTTTTTACCAAATATAATGTAAATTTAACAACAGAGTAATAATATAGTAAACTTCCAAAAATCATTCATGCTTTTTAAAAGGTAAACTTATTTATTAAAACAAGGTTTTTGAAAGTTGTTGCATTTTTTCAATATGCATGCTTTGCCTAATTTGTTTTCTGTTGACTACTACATAGTTTGTGTACATGAACAAAATTATCTTTGGTATCATTTTTTCACAAAGTAAATGTGGGGAATTCAGTGTTGACTTGTTGGGAATGAATAGCATTCATGTTAGTTGATTAAGGAAATGAATTGATTGGTGGCATACTTTTTAAATCACTGGACTTGTGGGAAGGTATCAAGTATTTTCAAGTTAAAAGGCTCAAGTCCAAGTGCAGTCACAAATTTTTGGTGTTAATGTCCAAGTCAAGTCAGAAGTCTTTTTGGAATTTCTCAGGTCAAGTCTAAAGTCATCAAAGTTGTGACTAGGCTGACTTTTGTCGATGTCATATGACTCAAGTCCATACCTCTGGTTTGGGGTACCTGGTGATCACAAAAAAACAGTTGGATGCCTTCCTAAAATATGAAGTGTGTTGTTTAGACTACTGTGTCCTATTCTTAACCGAATAGTGATTGTCTCCTCTTGCAACAGTTTACAACTACCCTTAATCCTGATGATTACTTGATGCACCTGGCATTATACTGTTCAGAGACTGAATCAGTACAGACTAGGACTTTGTTTAACTTGTATTACTTCCAGCCCTGAGAGTACAGACATTGTTGCTGATCTATTTACCTCACTCCCCTAGTCTAACCTTGATGTGATTACTAGTATATTAGTATAGTCTATTTCAGTGATCCATTCCACTCCTGTAAGATATCTGATAACATTTAACACTTTTATTTACACTTACACTAGACACTTAGCCTACACATTTCTGATACGCTTTCTCCACGTTAATCTCTGGGGAAAATATATGCAGCTGAAAAACAGAACACAGGCATTAAAAATATTTTTATTTCATTTTCATCATATTTTATTTTCATATTTTCATTTTTGGCCCTTTGATGTGTTTTTAATGACAATATTCAGATTTTTATCTACATGTCATTCTTTTGTCAGTGTCAGTTTTCTCCAACACAAAAACAGTGAGACAAGGTTAACACAGAAAAAAAAGACTGAAAAAAAGACCTTAATTGTAAAAAAAAAACAAGAACAAAATGATTACTATTAATAATAATTAATAATAATAATAATAATAATAATAATAATAATAATAATAATAAATTATCACAATAAAATAAAATAATTTGAATACATGAGTTTTATTTTTCATTTTTGTTTGTTTGTCTTGCCAAATTTGTTTGCGATGCCAAAAAATAAATATGTAATAATAATAATAATAATAATAATAATAATAATAAAACAGGACACGAAAACGTTTAATTCTCTTCAAGTGAATAATACCAGATCATCACCTTCATTGATGGCGGGCTGTTCACCTAATGACCGTTAGGGGGCAGTATCGCTTCATCAGACTGTTTTTAATAAGCTGTACCGCAGAGTTACCGTCATTAATTAGACAGGTGTCTATAGGAAGTGAGACTGCTGTTAACAGAGACTCGCAGTGTTGAACATAAAGAAGTATATTTGATTTAATCTGTAAACTGAGGCGCTCGGTGGGTCCTACAGTTTGTGGGCAGCTGTTTCCGGGGGGTCCCTGATGCAGGCGCAACCTGTGTGCGCCAGGAAATCAGTCCGTGTCCGAGGTTCAACTAGTTTTGTCCAGAAAATGGATGAATTTAAAGCCTGTAATCTGGACTACTTACCCGAAAACATCTTAATTGACATGTTGTCTTATCTGAGCGTACGGGAGCTCGTGAGAGCCGGAAGGTAAGGATAATGTAACTTTACCGACAGTGTTTTTACCAGTTCATCGTCCTGTGAAACAGAAGTCAGAGGCAGCTGTGTCTTTGTTGTGACTCATGTCACATGAGGAAGTTATGTGTTGTGTTGTGCGGTGATTTTCAGAGTGTGTAAGAGATGGAGACGCCTTGTTAAAGACCAAAGACTGTGGAGAACTGTCGACCTGACTGCATGGAAGGGGGTAAGGATGTTACTGGCGATGTGGCTTTAACATGTTTCTTTTGTTTTAGCTTGTCATGCAGTGTAATGTTTTCTTTACATGGGGAACAAGGCCACACCACATGTCCACAATAAAAGCATCTATACAATCTCATAAAATGACCATACAGTATGTATTATTGCTTATACATGAAACCATTTGTTCCAACAGCCATAACTGAGAGTCTTTGAAAACCAAAACCAAGCCAGAAAACTTGGTGTGATGAACACAGGGTTAAACTTTGACAGTCACATCAAACCAAAGACAAAGTGTGCATGATACCAGCCTATAAAGAAAACACAAGAGTGAGAGGATTAATGTCCAGGAATGTGTCCATGCCATTATTTATCAGGTCTTTAGGCCTTTGTTCATTCGTTCATTCAGAATGCTGCTGCTAAAATAATCAATCTTGCCCTTTTTCTCAGCTTTTGAGATAAAATCAGCAAACATGTGCACATGGAGAATCAATCTGGAGTTGACCATCCGTACACTAGAAACTTTCAGGGATTTCTGGAGCCATTTAAGCAAAAATAATCATAGTATGGACAATAAAAGAGTACTGAACACTTTACTCCATTACTATAGGCTCTACACTGGCTTCATGGATTAAAAGTTAAAGTGGAAATAGACAATTTTTTTGGTTTGATTTATCATTATGAGCACCTCAAGACGAGTGCCATCAAGTTCCAGTATATTCCAGAGCAGGCAGACATCTCTACGGTCAATATCTCCAACACACGATAACTCACACCAAAATATCTAGACTGATACATTTACATTTTGGGCTCGACGTGATTTTTTTTGCCAAGCAGGACATGCTCCTAGATCAACATCCCACATCATGTTCTGGACCAACATTGCAATCAACCAATCACAGCTCTCTGACATCATCAGTGTGTGGCTACAGTGCTTCTCTCAAAATTCATTTGTGCTTCTTCAGAGCTAAGCAAGTTTTCCAAATTTAAGTCAGTGCAACTGAACAAAGACCTCAGTAACATCGGAAAAAAAAGTATGTAAGCTACTGTAGGGTTAGTGAGTGTGTTAGCTTGCTAACTAGGTTGGCTATGCTAATGAGTAAACTTGCCAATAGGCTAGAATATTGTTCAGTGACAAAGAGATAGGATAAGAGCACTTTTCAGCTGAAAAATTCCCACAATTAACAAATGTTCCCTCCTTTTTTCCATGATGATCCTGGATAGATTTGGTTAGGTTTATCTGGGACCATCATCATCATCATCATCATCATCATCATCACGCTAATTCTGGATAATTTGTTTATGTGAACACCAACATGGCAGCGATGGTCCTGGATCAACATCAGCAATTCTGTTCAGGATCAACATGGCAATTATGTACCTGGATCAGACAAATTATTCAGGATAAAGATGATGATGATGATGATGATGATGATGGTCCTGGATCAACACGAGCACTGCAATCTTAGCTAACTTGCTAATATTCTAGTTTATCAGCAAATTTACTCATTAGCATAGCCAACCTAGTTAGCAAGCTAACTCACTAACAAGGTTTTTGTTCACTGTTACTGAGGATTTTGTTTAATTGCATTAGCAATAATTTAGAGAAGTAGCTTAGCTCTGAAGAAGCACAAAGAAATTTGGAGAGAAGCACACAGCATGTGGGATGTTGATCCAGGAGTGTGTCCTACTTGGCAAAATGACATCGTGCTACATTTTAAAGGTATAATAATTAATAAATATGTGGATAAATATGTATTTTTGATTTTAATATTTCATGTTGTATTTCCTGTAAAGCACTTTGAATGGCCTTTGTGTATGAAAGGTGCTCCACAATTAAACTTGTTCTGCCATGAGCCCCATAAGTCAGACTGAATGCTGTTTCATTTAAATATATGTCTGTACAATTATTGACAGAACCTGTCTCTCTCTTGCCTCTGATCCCCCACCCTCAACACATACATGGACTGTTCACTGTGTGTTAGGTGACCTCCCGCATCCTGTGGCTCCTGCTGCGTCAGTAACTGGGTTGCGGATTAAGGTGCCTTAGGTTGCGTGGTTTGCTGCTGTCTGCCCGAGGGGGCACCTTTCTGTCTGAGTCTTGGCTCAAAGCTTTGTCCACAAAGTGCCCTCGCCTGAGTAAGCTCTATCTCCTGCACGCAGACCTGAGATGCCTGCCCAGCTGCCAGCTCCTGCCTCCGTCTTTGCAGGTGCTGGAGCTGCGTGGCTGCGAGCTGCCTCTACTTTTTTTCAAACAGACTCCTACTTCACCTGCAGAAGCCACGTCCAGTGATAGTGCTCAACAGCAAGGAAAGGATCGGAAAGGAAAAGGGCATGGCTCTCCATCAGGGATTGGTATTGAGAGGTTAGTCCTTCACAATGTGCCCTCTTTCACGGACGACCACCTGCAGAGTCTGGCATCATGGGAGAAGCTCAGTCGATTAGAGCTGCGAGACACCTTTCGTGTTTCGGCTAATGGGCTCAGGAACTGTTCTGCCAAGGATGGTGCCTGTGGTGTGGAGGGGCTTTCAAGGCTCAAGTTTCTGGAATTAGGCATCACTGGGCGGCAGGGCTACCAGTTACAGATGGCCTCTCTCGGGCTGGGGACAGGATGGCTCGGACTGGAGGAACTGAGTCTCGGGGGTAAGGAGGTGGGACCAGGCTTGCTTTGTGCCAGCCGTCTGAAGGACCTGAAGTCACTGTGCCTGTGGGCCTGCACGCTCAGCGAGATGCAGATAGTGCGGAGCTGCAGGATGCTCCGCGGGCTCCGCCGCATGGAGTTTTTGGAGGTGATCTTCCAGCCTCGGCAGTGTCCACCAGCACAGGAGGGGGAGGGTGACGGTGGTGGAGAAGAGCAGGACAATGAGGAAGCTGCAGGGGGAGATAACAGCAATGATGAGAACAAGGAGATAGACACGAAAGATCCCATTCCAAGTTTGCGTCGCTCGCTGGCTGTCCTGCTGCCGTCTTGCACACTAGTGTTCACCAACTGCTCTGTTCAGATCAGTGCAGATTAACTGAGGTCTCTGATACTACTGTATGCAAGTGGCCAACATAGATACTATTTTCTCTCTCACCAGCTTATGCCATTTTAGGTAGTGTTATGGATGTAATGAATGACTTAAGTTCTAATTATTGTGTCATTTACATACTTAGGCTCAGCCCACATGAGCTTACAAGATACCACAATCACATATTTAGACCTTTATGTCAACAAAGTTTTAAAATCATTGACAAAACATCTACTGTGTGACACGGGAGAAATCAAAGTCACCTCTAAATACTACAGATTGCCTTCTTTTCCAGGCTTTTAAGACTGTTTCCTTAAAATATTTTTTAATATGCCAGTCTCAACAGACAGAGGAGGAAAACCAGTTTTAAACTGTGCAATTACAGACCTCTAGCTTTGAAATAAACAAACAGTTGCATATAAATCAGGGCCATACTTTTGTTTAATAGACATGTATGTCCTTAAAGGAGCAGTGTGTAGGATTCACGAGATTTAGTAGCATCTTTCAGTGAGGTTTTCAGATTGTAACCAGCTGAAACTTCTCCCGTGTGCCAAGCATGAACTCCCGGTTAGAGTTCCTGCAGTGCTCATTGCTCAGGAGGCTTTTACCGGAAGCCAAATTATCCACAAAGGTCTTCTCCTCTCCAAATCAAATGGACCAGGTGATTAAAACCAGGGGGGCTACTTACTACGGTGGCCAATGCAAAAACGCAAATGGCCTGATCTAGAGCCAGTGTTTGGTTTGCCTATTCTGGGGCTACTGTAGAAACACTGTGCTGCAGCTGGCAAACTTTATAGAAGAGGACCCATTCCTCACGTAGATATAAACCAGTAATTCTAAGAATCTTGCCGATATAGCCCCCTAAATTCTACACACTGGACCTCTAATTTTGGTTTTGACAGGATATTTTTAAACCATTTTCCTTTAAACTTGAATAAAAACATACTTTTAATGGTGCTTTATACGGTATATGTTAGAGACAGAGACAGACAGAAATATCCGTTGAATAATCCAACAAACTAAAGATATGTGACAAATTAAGGTACTATGTTACATTGATTTAAAAAAAAACAAAAACATATGTAGCCACAGAGCAGTCTTGCTCTTTGATTTTTAAAACTCCTTCAAAGATCCAGACATATTAATGTTAGAGCTGCTACATTACAGACGGTCTCTCTGATGGTAGCCAAATTTATATCACCTCAAGGTGTATGTTGTCATATTGTCAAACCCTACTACTTTAATCAGTGTCGTCAGTGTAAACCAGTGAGCAGTCTCACTTTGTAATTCATTGCTCACATGCAGACAGGAAAAGTTTTTAAACTCTGTCACAATAAAAGTGAACAAAACATTGATTCGTCGCTGTAAAGACATCAGCAGGTGTCGGTTAAACGGCAGAAAACTGTGTGCTGCTGGCAGTGATCCACCTGTTTCCTGTTCCTTCACTCCTTATCAACAACGTATACATTCAGAAAATATATCTGACAAGCACATGTTTGGTTTTTGTTTTGGTGTTACAGAAGAACAGCACAACATATTTAAATGAATCCTTATCAAGTCCCAATTGTCCTCTACTTCCCCCTTTTTTTACTGTTTGACTTTTAGAAATTATGAAATAAAAAATGATAATTGTAAATGTCTGTTTATTGCATTAACTAGGAAAAACATGGAAGATGTGTGTGTCACTCACATGAATTATGTTGCATTTAAACCAACCACTATAATTTTAACCTTCTGTAGAATTCTAAATGAGAAATTGTTTTGAATAAACATATTTTGAACAAATCTTTTAGTGTCGCTTGTCTTTATGTGTTAGTTAATTGCACCATTCTCTAAAAGATAGACTGACTTTTCTTGAAATCCAGCAAGCCTGCACATTGCAACATATCTCATTTAAATATATATTAACAATGTTAAGCAGTCATGAATCTTCATTTTAGTTTATTTTGTTCATACATCTATGATCTGCAACAAAAGGACACAGTCAGCACTGAAACAAGTTGATTTATCAAGTTGATTGGCAGAAAATTTGGACAGTGAGTTAACTGTTTCTGTTATATTTTAAGGAAAGACGCTTGGTCTGGTTCCAGCCTCTCTAAGGTGAGGACTTTTTTGCTTTTCTTTATTTTATGTAACTGTTAATAAAATATCTTTGTATTCTGCACAGTCTCTTTGGAAAACAGAGAAATGATGTGCATTTTTCAGTATTTTTGACTTTTCAATCAAAAGACAATTAATGGAAAAACTGTGAACATAACCAGAGATAATACATAGCTGATCATTATTAGTTGCAGCTCTAGATGTTGTCACTAAGGGGCTGTTTGTTATTTATGAGGAGGGAGGAGGTGGTGAAAAAAGGGGAGGCATGTAAAATATTTTTTTAAACACTGGGGAGGAACTAATATTTTTATTTTGGTCTAGGGGAGGGGTATACAAATTTAAATGGCTGTATTTTGTATTTATTTCACCGCTGATGCTTAAAGGCCCAGACGCACCAAACCAACATCAGAGAACTAGCTGCAAAGAGAGCCCCCTGCTGCGTTGCCTCACGTCACTGTGTCCTGGCCAAAAAGTTGCATGTGAACACAGTAAAGTGACGGCCAACAAGCATGTATGTTCTGCGCCTGCGTGACAGGACATACCCCTCCATAGCAGAAGATGGCGGTCGCCTGTAATCGTGATTCAAAAAGGGAAACCACAAGACACTAGTTAGCTAGTTCGCACATTAACAACACAATCCAATGTTGAAAGAACAGAGAATATTTATAATATACATATACAATAACACAAACCATCAGGAAACGTTTCTGCTAAAGAGTTTCTGACTAAATAAAAACAGTCTTACCTCATATAAGAAGTTTGTTTCGACCTAACTTCCTCTTGACTTAAGCTCTTTGTTTACATTCCTCACTTCCGTGTCTCTTCTCGTGCGCTGACCTGCCAGAGTGATTTCATTCACCGACGGGCTCCACTGTCGCCGACACCAATTCAACATGCTGTGTTGGCAGAAAAAAAAGTTGATTAGCACTGCGGAGGGCCAGTGGTGCCAGATACACCATACTGACAAGGGCGGCACATGCTCACCAACAGCCCAACTTTGACCGACGGCTGACAGCCTGCTTAAAGAAAACATGCCTTCCAAAAAAGCGGAAGGCATATTTTCACCAAAATTACACCATTCATCACAGCCAGAAACTGTAAAAGCAGAAATTATCATTGGAATTTAAATTTCTGAGGATCTTTGAACACATTATATGGGATGAATACTTCATCAGAGAAGAAACAAAAACAAATCTGAGCTTAAAATCTGAGACATTTCATTAAAATCACTTTATTCCACGTCCTATTTAAAATTTTGCCATAAATAAACCATTTGCACGAACTGACCAGCAGGCATGACAAAAGTGAAAGTCTGAAACTTCTTCCAACACCTGGATTTTGTCTTCAACTTTTAACCCTCAAATACCAATGGGTAAGTTTTAAAATTCTAACAATAGGTGGTGGTGGATGGAGACATGCATTTTCTGCCACTCACTCAGAGAGGTTCAAGGAAATATTTCTGTAGCTTCAGGCAGAGAAAATTATAAGCAAAATCACAATCTAGCCAGCTCTCTCGTCTGACGATTAAGTGCAGTCCCTAATAAAAGACAGCATGACAGCAACCAGAGGCACTGGGTCAGGATGGTTGGGGAAGGTGCTCGTATTCTTATTTGGTTCAAAAGCCTTAAAGATAGTTGATGGCATCGCGGGCATAAACATTTATTCAAGGGACATGTATAGCAATGGAGATTCTGCTTAACAAAGAAAACAACAGTAATGCACAGAGAACACAGCAGACAAGGAAATAAGGGGCGGGCTGACGTCTGACTGACGTCGGTGTACACCAATCACACGCTTCCTCTTGAAACCGGTCTGGCCAATAGGAGCTTTCTCTGTGTAGTACACCGACCAATCAGATTCGCGCAGGATAGCTTTTTGAAACGTTGGCGGCCGAGGAAGTTTAAAATAGTAACACTGGTCTTTCTTCGCTTCAACGTTCATACCTCAAATCTTCACAACGATGCAGGTAAAATATGTTTTGGTATTGTTTTGTAGACAAATAAGAGCGAGCAACAGTTGAGTACATTAAACGATTCATATGCACCTAAGTTATATTGTTCAAGTAGAAGACAGACTGGAGCTAACTTGCTAACGTTAGCGTTGGGTTTGCTAAGTTAACGTTACCTTGCTAACCTAACTTAGCATGACGCCCGTTATCTTGTGTTAAAAAGTTAATAAGTGCGTACACGGCAAATTATTTACATTAGCAGGAGTTATTTAAACTAAATTAAACCGTGGAGCAGTAGGTAGTACCTCCATTAAAAACATGAGGCAGGGTGCTAACGGTAGCCGACCCAAACAGTGGCCTAATTTAGTGAACACTAATAATTTGTAAACGCAGTAAAATTAATATTATGAGCTAAACTTACTAACTGAACCAACAGAAGCATTTACTGCTTATTTAGAAAAGTCTGTAACTGGAAAAAAAAATGACAATCCATTGTCGTTATAGCTTTGTTTATTTAAATAACAAATGGTCCTTTGTTACCTTATGACAAGGTAGTTAAACAATCACAACGACACGCATTTTTAAGGTTACAGACCACCCCATGTGTTACATTAATACCATAAATAGCAGAGCTTTTCACAATATGTAGATGAAAATGTACACTGCACCAAAAGGAGCACTTGTACAGTTAAATTCAATCCAGTACAACAGTAAAGATGATACACATTTTTTGGGAGGACTCTAGGAGGTGTTGATTTTTTTGTAGTCTTTTCAAAAGCTGTAAGTTAGTTTTTGATATTGTTGCAAATTGTATTCTTCTGAAAGGTATTTACTGTTTTGTCCAAGGTGTGCACAATGACAGAAAACAAATGAGATGCCACAAAGACACCCAACATGGGTTCTCAGATAAATGTCAACTGTTATTACAAGCACCTACAAGCACATTCAGGTGAAAGTACAAAGGAAAACCAGTTGAGCCCTCACACAGCTGACTTAACTTTGAGTCATCATTCTGGTTTAATAAAGGTGATAAAGAATGAGGAACAAAACAGTTAAGGCACTGTGTTGTTAGTTGGAGAAAACTCAGGGCGTCTACAGGTCCTTAAAGGGATAGTGCACCCAAAAATGAAAATTCAGCAATTATCTACTCACCCATATGCCGAGGGAGGCTCAGGTGAAGTTTTAGAGTCTTCACATCCCTTGCGGAGATCCAAGGGGAGAGGAGGTAGCAGCACAACTCCACCTACTGCAGGCTGACGGCGCCCCAGATTAAAACGTCAAAAAAAACCCACATAATTAAAACCACAAAATATCTCCATACTGCTCGTCCGTAGTGATCCAAGTGTCCTGAAGCCCCAACATAAAAAGTTGTTTGGAAAAACGTCATTTGAACTCTGTTTTTAGCCTCATTGTAGCCTGTAGCTCTGACTGCTTCTCTGGGCAGAGAGACCAGCGAAAGCACGTGAACACACATGAAGGCGGTGCCCATGTCTCACGGTCTTGCACAAGCACACACACGTGAGGAGGTATGGAGATATTTTGTGGTTTCAATTATGTGTTTTTAGGACGTTTTAATCTGGGGCGCCGTCAGCCTGCGTTAGGTGGAGTTGTGTTGCTACCCGCTCTCCCCTGGGATCTCCGCAAGGGTTGTGAGTAGGATGTTGTCTAAAAATCTGTATTGACCGAGCAAACAGTCATACAAGATAAAAAAACACGACGACTGGTCAGCTTAGGGTAAAAGTCCATAGTACAGGCAGGCGGTCTAAAAATGCATCCGAGGTACTCTGACTGTAGTTCAAAATCTTTTATTGATACATGGATAAACCAGCGCATTTTGACGACAGAGTCCTCATCAGGGTCTTGATGTCTGATGGACTTTTACACTGAGTGAGCTGGCCAGCTGTTTTTATCTAAAGGTGATAGAGAAATTGAACAAAGCAGCTGCACCTAAAAAGGGATTCATTAGTGAAATCTTAATGAAATAACAAGCACAACTTGAGACTAAAAATAAGTGTGGCTAGCTAGAGAAGACATATAAGCTCAAATGTATTGTAAATTAATGTTAACTGTATTTATTTCTCTACAGAATAAGGAAAATTATGAGCCCAGAGGCTTCCAGCGACCGGTAAGATGAAATATTTGTAAAAAGATGTGTTCAAATACCATTTGATTGCCAGTAGTTGTACTAACACTGACAAACTGACCTATCAGAATGCCATTCTTGGCAAATATTGGTATGAAAATACTGGAAACTATTACTGATTTAAACAACACATCATAGCGTTTCTGATTCTGTGTGTTTGCTTCTGAATATCAGTTCACAACTCCTACCATGGTGGCCGGCCCACAGCGTATTCAGGTGAAGCCACGAGCAGATATGGACAAAAACACCATCACAGGTAACATCACCCTCCTCACATACACACAACAGACAGATACATCAGGGAGTGTGCCAGTTTTGATTTTGTTTTCTTTTTCAGGCCCTGGGAGAGAGTGTGTTAGCTCATCCAGTGCAGCCTCAAAGTGAGTATATTCACTACTACTTCTCAAGTTGTGTAGTGGTTGCCAGGTTTGTTTTTTGTATTTTTTTCATACATCTAATGATTAACATGAGAATATCCATCTTTGTACTTCCCATCAGGAAAGTCTCCATCGATGACTTTGACATAGGTCGACCACTGGGGAAGGGCAAATTCGGTAATGTCTACCTTGCGAGAGTGAAGAAGCTGCAAGCCAT